TTCAGCTCTTGTACCTGTATAAATCTAATGGATCAGAGGGATTTTTACATTTCAGCTATGTCTATTGAGAACTTTGTCAATACTTAGGATAACAAAGTAATATTTAGCTTTTTATTATTATAGTAAATGCTTTCTCTTGGCAATATTGTCTTGGAAAATGTATTTTATTTTCTGGTCAATCTTTTGTCAAAAAAAGTAACAAAACAAAAAAACTTTTTTTGTTTTATTTTAGCCATATGTTTTCAAACAAGTGTTCCTGTTCATAAACAAAATTCACTTTTTATTCTATAATTTCCCCTGTGTATGAGATATAAATAGAGAGAGAGAGATATCAACTTTTCAGCAAACAAATAGTCCCAAAATAGTGAGTGATATCCAGTGCAGATGATATTCAAACTCTTCCACCTCAGTTCTCTTCAGGTGTACCCCGCTGGCTCTCAATATACCTGAACAATGCCAGCATCCAATCAGAGTGTTCAGGTATTTTGAGAGCCAGTGGGGCCGACTAGCAAGATACTGAAGCTTGGCCCAGCGGGAGATTCCTCCATTCACACAGTTTAGCGTAGATGGAGGAATCTGTTGCACTTTTTTCATCTGACCATAGAAAATAGATAATCTATAGGCGTATGGGCAGCTTTATGCTTGAACAAGGCTTAACATGGCATAACGTTTTTTTAGAGCATTATGTTTGTTATGAAAGTAAGGGCATACTTTAGTGTTTACATTTTATTTGTAATTGCACATTCACTTCACAATCATACATCATCTTGTGCCCTCTGGCAAAAAAAAATGGCAGGTGACTGGTTACCTTCACTGAGGATTAGTTTTTATATTCTGCAGCAGCATTCCCTGGTTCTTCATTTACATCCAGCTTTGCAATGAACAAGCTGCTTCTGCTCACCTCTACAGAGTGCTGTTTGGAGACAGAAAATCCGCACTGCACTAAGGTGACTGTGCAGCTCTCTTCTGGGATATGCTTATGCAGTAAATAGCAGGATGTACACACAGAGCCAGGGGGCTGCAGGCCATGTTGCTGGAAACAGGACTTCTCTTTGTCATTCCATTCTATTGACATTTTTCTTTTCCAGAGGCTGCAGGGACAAGTACAAATCTATTGCTCATAATGAAAATGCTGTATATATTAACTGCTAATCTACTGAAAACTAAAGTTTTTTTCTTTTTTTTTGTTTGTTTCAGAAGAAATAAAGTTGAAGACGGGAGAGGCAAGTAAATCGGATGCAAAATTCCTTAAAATGAAGGCATGGTCAAAGTCCAGAATCAGGCAGCTGGAAGAAGAACTAAAAATTGTACAAGTACCTCTATCATTTGCCCTGTCTTTGTTCTCTTACTCCCACTTCTGCCTGATTCTTAGACTTGGTAGAATCTGTATAACTTTATTCTCCAATAACACCACTGTCCCTCTGAACTTTTTCCAGTGTTTAGTCTTGTCCTTCAGTATTTCGTATTATTATAGAATAGTTTACTCAGTGCTCAATAACTTGCTTTTACATCCTTTTGTTAACTGTTGCTTTTTTGTTATTTTATTTGTAGGCTGAGGCAAAGAAGCAGGAGCTGTGGCAGTTGAGCGCTCACGTTGCTGAGCTGGAGGAAGAGAAGAAAGGTTTGGAGATTAAGCTACAATCTGTTGCTGACTTGCAGGCTTTTAATGGTAAGTATGGGAACGTGTAATTTGCCTTTCTTTTATTTACAAGTGTGTGTTTTTAATGCATCTCTGTCCATTTTAAATACACATTGCTTAATGCTTAGTTAGGCGTACACAGCCTGTAAAAGGCATATATGCAGTATCCCAGCAAGCTTTGCAAACCGTGTTCAGGATACACCATTTATTTATTAGTTTTTACTAAATTAAAGAAGAACTATGGGGAGAGGAAAATGCACTCGCCCCTATAGTTAGAGCTAATGTGTGACACTGCAGCTGTCACATGACGGCTCTATAGCTCAAGAACTGAGTGATCAGACACCGCTGATTGTTCAGTTCATGATCTTCTCCATGCAGAGAGAGGTCACCGCTCCCTGCAGAGATTCCCCTCTCCGTTCCTCCAGCGCTGACTGAGAGGCAGAGCCAGCTGTCTATCAGGTAGCAGGGTGTATCCTGACAATATTATTGGGATCTTTCCCGGCTGCAGAGTAGCTTTGCGCTATCAGAATATAGCAGTTAATAGCCCCCTATTTGCTGAGTTTTGGGTACAGGAGGACATTAGTAAATGTCCTCCTGTGACCCAAAAGAGAACTAATGTCAAAAAAGGTTTGGCCATAGTTCTCCTTTCAGAATTTTATACATAAGATAGAAAAAGCTTTATCCAGCGTACCTTTTACAAAAGTATTACCATTTATAGTAAAATAAAGTTGACCATATTTTCTTTTTAATCTTTTTAGTGTCTAAAGGTCACTCATGCTCAGAGGCCAAAGCAAAATTTAGTAGTGTCAGCATGCGTGTGTTAGCTTGATAATAACATTAACATAAAGTATAAAAAATGTTTAAACCTGTCCAACCACCAGCCATGATCTGACATCAAGAAGCACAGAGATCCAGTGATGTCACCCGGTCTAAAAAAAAATGTATATGCAAACGCATAAGTTTTATGTAAAAATATTGTAAGCAAATATTGCTTACACTAAAGAGGGCAGGAGGAACCAGGGAAGGCAAAGTATAAGCAGCTTAAACTTTTGGTTTTTAATCTTTTGGGTATTTCTAAATGCAAGAACTTTAGGTCATAGATGTTGGCTCTTTTCCTGCCCACCTTGAAGCATGGCCACTTCTCTTGTTTAATTTACTATTATATACATAAAAACCCAATAGATGGGGAAGTAGATGATTGTTATAGCTGAAGGCAGATCTTGGAAATCAAGCACAGAGATGTTATCATTCTCTTAAAGATATAAACCATTTGGTGGTTTAACTCTCCAACTTGTGCCCTGCCAATGCAGGCCAAACCAAAAGGTTCACTTCAATTCCAGCCTCAGCAAGTGTAAATGATTACCTGCATCACGATGGAACCAGAATTCGTGTTGAGGCAGGAAAGGTAAAAGGAATTCTGTCCTGGGCAGAACTAAACGTTTCAGCCTCGTCTGCCATTTACATAGTGTATGTAACGGGTGGGCAGACTTCCTCAGATGGCAGTGTCTGGACCGGGGTCCCTACAATCTGAAGTGATTCCAGAACCTGTGTCACAGATGAGTGGATGTAGACCTGGCCTCTTACATAAAGTTTAAGCCTTCCTCCCACAATGTGGCAATGCCAGCTGACCTAAGTGGCTAGCACTGTTACTTGGAAGGAAGAGGTATTTCTCTTGAAAGCACTGTGCAACTGTTTGCCTTAGCTGAACTTTGCAACTTTTGAAGGTTTGCAGCAAGCCTTGAAAATGTAATACATCCAGTGACTTGGAGTTCTTGTTGTTCTATAACTATACTTTGCATATCAAATCAACTGATTTTCCCTTTTTTGTTTTATCAGAGCAACTCTTGGCTAAACTTGTAGTTTATGAAGAACAGCAAAGAAAGCTGCAGGCTGACCTTGAGCAAGTTGCAAAGAGAGCCGATTCCCAGGTAAACCTCTTATATTTCATACTGCTTACTATTTAATATATGGAAATCCTTAGCTATTTGGTGTACCTGACTTTTTTTTTTCTTGAGTAGTTTGTTTTCTATTCCTTTTGTTCCTGTTTTGCAGGTTTCTCATTATAGTATTTGTTTTGAAAGCTAAACTTGCGCTTTTATGTAGAATTAAACCAAAACTGTAAAAAAACAATATGCAGATACAGTAGTTGACAGGCTGTGTCACTTAATAGTGCGGGGATATTCAACAGAACAGATTTAGGCATTGGCTGGTGTCTTAATACATATTTGGGTTGCCTGCCTGATGAGCTTCTGCAGCCCCACCAAAAAAAATATTTCCCTGTATACAGCAAAGGTTCACAAAACTTTACACAGTATACTTCACCCCACAATGCAGAGCCTAAGCGGAGGTCCAAGCATTGTCACATGGAGAGCATAGCCCTACACAAATAATGACTCTGATCATTGGTATTTTCTTATTTCATTAGATAGCTGTATTGGCGTTTTGGGGAGGCAATGTAAAGGTACACTACATGGCCAACGGTTTGTGGGCACCAAACCATTACACGTGTAGGAGTCTGGTGAACATTCCAATGTGAAAAACCACTCACACACTCACACTCTTTTCAAGAGGCTTTCCACAAGATTTTGGAGTGTGCCTGTTAGAATTTCTGTCTAATGAGCATTGGTGAGGTGAATCAGACAAGATATCCTGGTTCACTGTCAGCGTTCCAATTCACCCCAAGGGTTTTCAGTAAAGTTAAGGTCAGGTTTCTGTGCAGGCCAATTGCTTTTCTCTAAACCAAACTCAAAAGCAGCTGGCTTTGTGTACAGGGGCACAATTATGGTGAAACAGAAAAGGACTTTCCTCAAACTCTTGTCAAGGTTGGAAGCACAGAATTGTTGTAAATGTCTTGTCTATGCTGTATTCCTTCACTGGAAACACCTGAACTGCATCATTTGCAGCAGTGTCCACATATGTTTGGTCATAAAGTGAATGATGTAGCATTGGAGGGTGCTTGCTAACGTTTTTACTTTCCTTCTTTACTTTAATAGTGGATACTGTAGAGGGGCGAATCATTGGGCGACATAATTTGCTCTATATCATAGGCAACCTTAGCACTCCAGCTGTGATGAAACTACAAATGAAACATTGCAAGACTCTTAACAGCCACAGGAATGACTCCCAGTGGCTGAAGCATGATGGGATTGGTAGGTTCACAGCTGGAGTGCCGAGGTTTCCTTTCTGTGTTCTATACAGTGCAACAACCTCAACTTATGAGGCTTTTTGCCATGTGTATTTCAATTGTATGTCCATATTTTATATGAAATGCTGCCCAAAATGAGACACAATGGGGGGAATTTATCAAAATCTGGAGCAGCTGTGCATGGCAACCAATCGGCTTCTCTCATTTTTAAATCTTTACTGAACACACTGAGGAGAGAAGCTGATTGGTTGCCATGCACAGCTGCTCCAGATTCTGTCTGATCCAGTTTTGATACATTTCCCCCAATGTGTTCATATGAAATTAACAATTCTAAGTGCACTGTCCTCAGATTTAAGAGACGTAAATTAATTCTAGGACCCATTGGCAAGCACCTTCTATCTCTCAGGATGTAGGATTTTTCTTCATAAAATGAATGGAACATCAGAATAATAGTGGCACGGAGTTGTTACACCATTAGCATTATTTTGTTATGGTTGCAGACCAGCGAGTCCGGCAGTGTTGATGAGATGCAGAACCAGCTCCTGGAATGGCATGAGATGAGCGCAGAGAGCAACATAACCACGGAGCAGGACAGAGAGGAGACCTCTGCCATGGCTCTGAGGATGGCACAGATAGAAGAGGAGAGAGAAGGTAAATTCTCCTATTTCCAACTCATGATAAAATGTCACTGTTCAGTTATACGTGTCTGGATGCGAGCCACGTACTGTCCATTATCTTCCACCGGGCTCATTTCCTAAGTGCTGGGTATCACTTTCTCGCAGCTGTAGGAAACAGACAGTAGCTTTCCTTCAGCAATGTCGGGTTGGCCGATTCACAGGTCAGTGTTTGTGCATAGGCAGGTGTTTATCCATTATGGAATTGGTCACTCCGGAATTCAGCACTACTTCTCAAAGGTTTGATATTGTTCCCCCAAGATTAGAGCAGCCTGGGTTTTCTGCTGAGTAGAAAGATCTGTCCATGCAATGCGACCATACCTAGAGGGGGGAAAAAAGATTATTAGGGGCGGTTAGTAACGGCAGGTGACTGTGACCGTAGCCTCCGTTACTCTGATATTTGGAGGGGACTGCAGGCCCGCCTCCTTCCCACCGACTATGGGCCTTGGCTGTGGAGCGGGTTCTATTGATTGGGAGAGGGGCTTGCCATGGTGTTTTGGGCTGTGTGAGACCCTTTTGTTTGTGCTCCATGGATCAAGAGGACCCCAGAGACCTCTTTCCCATGGGGAAAAAAAGATTATTAGGGGAGTTTAGTAATGGCAGGTGACTTCTTTTCCTTAGTGCAGCTTTCCTTTAAATAGGACAAGGTAATTTATATAATTTCAGTGGATGATGGCTATACAACCCTCTTGCAGCAGCATTAATCCAAATCGATCACTTTCCGGCTCATTTATGTATTGTGCTTAGTTTATGATCAGATGCACCTTCTTTCTGCCTATGATATTTTTTAAATCTATTTTTTAAATCTTTAGTAATGCAAAAAATCAAAGTAATGTGGTGCTGGGGCTTTAACATAGTAGTGCCAGATTTTCTAACGCATCCTATTTCTGGGTCTGCTTCATTAAAACACTGTAGAGTACGAAGGCCCTGTCACTTTTACCATATTATTCATTAATTAGTTTGATGCACGTTATGAAATATTATTTCATTTGTTTATATTCTATATTTGCACAAAAATGCTATTTAGAGTTTTCATAGAAACCACTGGCCTGATTATTGGCCTAATATATCTAACCTACGTGTCTCAGGAAAAACTGTGTTCCTTCCTCATCCCTCCTAGCAAAGCTATTTTCTAAAGTTCTCTGCTGTCTGATATTGCTTTATGAAGTCTGAGCTGAGAGGCTGAACGGTGGCCTTAAGCTAGAGCTACACAGGAGATTTACTTACTGATTAAATCACTTGAAGTAGCACTTAATTACTAAACAGATGTGCACTTTATACTCCATAGGTATCCATTTGTTCCATGTAGTTATAGTAGCTGTTCCATCTGAAGTGCCGCTTTCTGCAAAAGACCTCCTGAGACCCGGTCTTTATAGACCCGGCAGGCAACTTAGTGACTTGACAAGATCCACATGCAGGGTCGGCTCACCAGGAAGACTCGGAAGTAGAATCCTATGTAGTTGACTTCAAAATGTATAAAAATACAATGTTTTAGTCCTCTAAAGAACTTCTAAAGCCAAAACTTTAGACAGCAAAAAAAAAAGTCCTTTAAATGAGAAATAAAAGTATTGACATTTGATATACCTTAAAGTTGAACTCCGGCCTTCCCTACAGTCTTGCACAGTTGTATTGGCTCCTCTCCTGGACTGAAATAGCTTGATTTCACTGCACCCTGTAAGCTTCTCAAATGTGTTTTAGAAGCTGCAGCACATCATATAGAGCCCGACTCATTTTTGGGCTGGAGGATATTCACTTTTATCTAGCCCTTTCCTCCCCAGCTTGACTGTCCATGACCCAGATTGCAGTTCTTTCAATCATGGAGGCTCAGCATCACAATTGGATGTAACCTACTGCTAGGGCTCTTGAGAGAGTACTAAGACTGAGTGCTGTGATGTTTTTGGGAAGCTCTGTACAGCACCCTGCCGGCCTTTCCCACCAGCCATGATCAGCCTGCATTGCCTAGAGAAGTAATGATATCACTAAGCGTAAAATATGTAAAGAAAACGGAAAACCTTTTTAAAAAAAATAATAATTTTGATGTTAATGAGAGGGGTATTGGGGGGACCCAGTGAAGGCAAAATATAAGCAGATTGAACTTGGAAATGGCTTTTCAGGAGGGATGAGGGAGAATGTTGTATCACAGTGGTGTGTAGGGTGCATGTCTTAAAATTGGTATCCTAGACAAAAACCCTCAGCCGAGAGTCGGGACAGGTTTTTGTCGGCAAATGTAGAAATTGTCATAACTTGTATCACATCGATGGGTACGATATTTTAAAAGGGACAGGATATCTCTTAGGAATTCCACCATTACCACCTTTAGTAGTATATAAATGCCTCATGTATAGATTTTGTTGGCTTAGCTGTCCGGACTGAGCATGACTTCCATTTTTTCTTTTTTTGTTTTTGTTTCACCGTTAAACGAGCCAAACGCTCAGCATTGCTCCACTCCATCCTTATACCCCTCACTGTGATTTGGTCAGCCACTGAGAACTTAGTTTCCCATCAGTTTTGTGCATGCAGGTTCCTTTTCATCATGCTGGCTGGTGCTGTACTGCTGATGCGTTCCCCCTGGAGCGTTATCTGGAGGTGGAAACAGGCAGCAGTATAGAGCTGGCCACACCACACAAGTCTGGCTTTTGTTTTTCCCTTTTCTGTTTTAACATCCTAACCAGTTCTCTTCAATTTATGATTTCATCTAATTTCTAATTCATCCAGCTCATCCCTGTCTTGTCTGCTTGGTATGAATCGGTTGTGCTTGCCGGGAGTATAAATTCATGCAGCGTGATTCTCCAACATTAGAGTCTGTCAATGAAATGACATTTGAATTTAAGCGTATTGCCCTGAAGCCTTGATGTATGACTTATCCTATAATCCGTGGGATCGGATCCCAGCACTTGTGAAATAAAGGAGTCCGCGCACAGCAATTCTGTTGGAGAACCACTTTTAAGTCTGCATCAATTTTTAAAAGCAGAAGCAAGATCTGTGCAGCAACTGAGTTCAGCTATAGGTTAAAGGAACACCTTTTTGATTGATCTCAGGGCTAACTGTCTGCAGGTACATGCGGCGACATTTCTGTTTCCTGATTCAGTATTTTATACAATCATTCTGCTGATACAAAGTGCATTTATGTGCAGCATGTTGCATCAGCTAAGTGTACAGGACAACTACACATAAAATCTGTATTTGAATTTACAGCCAACACATGCCTTAGTGTTGTATAGAATAAAAGTAGCCGTGTTACCCTCCCTACCTGCCTGTTAATTCTCTATTTTTGAATTGTGGGAAGAAACTTGAACACACAGCAACAAAGTGAAAAGACAGGAAAAACATCAAAATGTGGCTTTGAGATTGAACTGCAGAACAAACAGTATTGTCACCCACAGAACGAAGTACTGCTGTGTTAACAAATAATGCAGTTTGTCATTAGCGCTATTTTTAATTTTGACCATAGTTCCACTTTAAGCTCATATGACATATAAATATATCTAACTGTGTTACACTAAACATTTAAAAAATATTTCATGACAGTCAAAACCCCAATAAATTACACATGAAACCTAAAACGTTAGTTTGAGGAAGATCCACTTTGATAAATAGTAAAAGAGACAACTTCCAATTTAAAAGTAATATTAAGATGGGGAAGTTCTCTAGTTGCAAGTCCGATGGATGAGTGGGTGGGTAGGTAGGTAGGTAGACAGACAGATGGGTGGGTAGGTGGATGGATAGGTAGGCGGGTGGGTGGGTAGGTAGACGGGTAGGTAGGTAGGCGGATGGGTGGGTAGATGGATGGATGGGTGGATACATAAGTGGGTAGATAGATGAATGTTTGGATGGATGGGTAGCTAGCTAGATGGATGGATGGATGGGTAGCTAGCTAGATGGATGGATGGGTAGCTAGCTAGATGGATGGATGGATGGGTAGCTAGCTAGCTGGATGGATGGATTGGCAGGTAGCTAGCTGGATGGATGGGCAGGTAGCTAGATGGATGGATGGATGGGTAGCTAGCTGGATGGATGGATGGGTAGCTAGCTAGATGGATGGATGGGTAGCTAGCTAGATGGATGGATGGATGGGTAGCTAGCTAGAAGGATGGATGGATGGGTAGCTAGCTAGGTGGATGGATGGGTAGCTAACTAGATGGATGGATGGGTAGGTAGAGGGATGGATGGGTAGGTAGGTAGGTAAGATGAATAGATAGATAGATGCCAGTGTAATGGTGCCTGAACTAAGCAACACACATCTCGCTTCTGCTTCAGTAGTTTTTTTTTCTCCCATTTATTTGCATGATAAATATTACTCACCAGATTAACATTTAGTCAGATCACAAAACAGATGGGAATGTACTTTCTACAGTTGTAGAATTTTCTCCAACAAAATTTTTACTGCTAATGTGTGACTTTAAAGAAATGTACAGTTATTTCCGTCACAAATGAATCAAATTGTTATTGAGTAATTACATTGTTTGAGGCCTTGTATCCCAGTCATGTGACTTCCTCTGAATTAACAGTCATTGTTTACTGCACTAAAAATGAAATTTATTTTTCTATTTGTGTACGGTGCTCAGTAATCATCTGTATTGATCTGATCCTGTGTACTTCCCTCTAATTGACTGTATTATTTAACGTGCACGTTGTAACAGTTTGCAAGGCAAGTCCGTTATCTGTTTGGCAAAACGTGGCACGGTTTTTGTCAAAGAGCTCTTTGGTGACTTGTGCAGAGTGCTGTGTGGCTAGGGGGAACTCACAGGATGAATGTGCTGGGCTTTGTAATGTGGGCTGGCGGGGTTCAGTGGAGCTATTATGTAAAAAAAAAAAAATGCTTTTCCTGTGGCACAAAACTGATTGAGGATGACTGGTTCTTTCCTGGCTGCTCCGATCCAGCCATGGACTCAGGGCAGATGGAACTGGAGGAGGAGCTGAGCGCAGCTCGCGGACTGGGGAAAATGAGATCGACACGAAGGAAAGGAAGCAGAGGAGCCACCAAACTGCAGGTTAGTTCATACATTCTCTATCTTGCTTACAAGTTTGTAAAATAATTAAAGGATGGCTGTACTTTTTAACCCTTGAACACAATGTTAGTCAACCTGATCTGCCTTTAAAAATGCCTGTCCTTACACAGGCCAAAATACCCGTATACATTACCTGTATGTACAGATACTGCATGTAGCCATGTGCGCACTGCTACACACAGTACCTATCCCTCCCGGACGCAGGTCTCTGCATGGATTTGCATGCTGTACAGCTATGCACATCCATGTGAATGAGGCCTATGTCTCCCAATGCATATGGGGAGCCCTTAAATCCTAAGCCAAGTTGAGATTACAGTGGAGCTATGTCTGCCTATAAAAAAATCTGTGCTGCAGCAAATTTATTTTAAGTGCTTATTTTTTTATGTTGTCCCCCTGCAAAGTCCTACAAATACCTGTTGATCCTGCAAGTAAAGTCCACTTAAAAGGGAACTATGGGTTAACCCATTTTTTGCATGGTTTACTTCAGGGTCACGGGAGGACATATATCAACCTCCTTCCTTTGACCCAAAACTCAGTATATAGCGAGCTATTGCTCGTGATATACTGAGAGCGCAGCAGGCGGGATGGATCGCCACAATACTGTTGAGATCCACCCTGTTGGCTGATTGACAGAGGGCTCTGCCTTTCTAGAGGCAGAGCCCACTGTGCCCGCCCCCTACCTTGTCCGTTCCTCCGGTCAGCGCTGGAAGATCGGAAAGGGGAGGGGGGAATCCCTACGGGGAGAGGTGAGTGACATGATCGGAAAGTGAGCGACGGTATGTGTTCGCTGACTTCCTGATCAAAAGAGCTGACGTGTGACAGTTTCAACCCATAATTCTCCTTTAAAGCATCTTCTTGTGATGTGGTGACAGTGCTGCTGCCTTTCTTAATTCAAAGCACCACTGTCACCCTGCTTGCACCACAGTGGGATGAGAAGACGATGCAGGGGCTGTGGCATTATGTCGCAGATCAAGACCTTTGCAGGCCTCCCAGAGTCAAGGCTACAGCTCTGTAATTTTATTTATTACAGGTATTTATATAGCGACAACAGTTTATGCAGCACTTTACATAGTTGCACATTCAGGAGCTTACAATCTAAGGTCCCTATCTCACATGCATACATAGGGGGCTAACTTAGAGAGGAACCACTTAACCTACCAGCATGTCTTTGTAGAGTCTGTAATCTGCAAAGCTCACTCTCCTTGCTGATTGCAGTACTTTAGGTGTGATTCAGCAAGGGTAATGTCAGACCACTGCTCCCACACAGAATGCAGTGGTCTTTACCTACAGCATATTCCCATTGATATGTTTTCTTGTGGGGCTGGGGTAGGATTGTAAGGATAACATGATAAGACCCTAGAAACCACTCATAGATGGCTCAAATGTTGGCTGTTCAGCCCACAAGAGAAGATCAATCAAATCCCCCATCCAACTAGTAGGGCTGTCGAAGGGATTTCCACTTCCAGCTATTGTATTCAGGCAGCCACAGCACCTGCAGCTGCTGACACTGTCAAACGGTGAGTGTATCTGATAGGATGCAGTCACTGTTTGGTCAATAATTTTCAATCTCATTTGATTTAAAACCAACTTTGTTGTGCCAGGTGGTGCTTGCAGGACCACCGATGGATCATATTTTGGCTGATTCAGCAAGAATCGGTTGAAATTCAAGCCGTCTATGGGGGACCTTTTAATCACTTTTCTTGAACCCAACCTGATTTAAAAAAGAAAAAAATGTCCAATTAGGCTCTATGGAGGATGATCAATAGACATAGGGGGAAAATTAATCACTAGTACACATTGAGGGGAATTTATCAAAACTGGAGCAGCTGTGCATGGCAACCAACCAATCAGTTTCTCTCTTCAGTTTGTTCAGTTAAGATTTGAAAATGAAAGAGAGAAGCTGATTGGTTGCCATGCAGGTCTGCTCCAGTTTTGATAAATTCCCCTCATTGTGTAATCCTAAAACTGTAATCTTACTGTAGTTTTTACTACCAAGTAGCACCTACTATGTCTTCAGTCTAACAAGTTGTGTTCTGCTTAAACCAGGATGAATTTGATTATAGCGGCAAGAGTTTTGAAGAGCAGAGCCTTTCGATGGACAACAGCCATACCATAGAGGGCGAGAACATGGGAGGTTGGTGGCCTGAATTCGGTTCTCCTAACTCAGGTGTGACCCCACTAGACAGTTTATTGCCCCCTTGTCCGTCCCACCCAGCGGACAAGGGCCGGAGCATGCACTGCGTCACCTTGTGCCTTTTTTTTGTCCACTATTTTTATTTTGGATTTTTTTTTTTTTAACAGCTCGTTGAGTATTGGTTCCTAACAAGTTAAAGGGACACTATCATAAGGAAAAATAGAACACTACCACAATAGGGAAAAACATTTGCCAGTGCTATAATACATGATTATTAATATTATTATATAATAAACATTTAAATGGCATCATAGTTTTCTCCTGTGAGTGCCAGCTTGGATTAAAATAATGTTTTGGGAATATGTTGATAGTATAGCTGTTTTACATATAAAAGCTAGGTTTAGTCACTAGACCAGGGGTAGCCAAATCCCGGCCCTCCAGCTGTAGTGAAACTACAAATCCCATGATGCATCTCTCTCTGGGAGTCATGTCTGTGGCTGTGAGAATCTTGCAGTGCCTCATGGGATTTGTAGTTCCACCACAGCTGGAGGGCCGAAGTTTGGCTACCCCTGCACTAGGCCCTCCGTTTTCTTTGTGCTAATTCCTCAATTGACGGGCTACTTCATTACTCAGGTAAAAGTGCAGATTTTGGTTTGCAGTGTTAAAGGGACAGCATATGCTATACTAAAGTTTTAATAATGGAAAGATATATTACCCATCAGGTTTTTCAGGGCACCAATGGCCACATTATCACTGTAGCGTCGGATATGGAGTCTTGTCAGTAAGGATTTAGTTATGCTGCTGCAATCTCTTTCCATAATGTTCAATACAAATTGAAACAGAAGTGACAGATTATTTCTTCCTGTAATGGACATGACTGGTGGGTGGATCTTGAAATTCTCGCTCTCTCAATTATAATGGGGTCCGGCCCCTGAATGAAGAACATATTGGGAAATTAGGCAAATTTTAAAAATATCTACATTGTATTAAGATATAGAAACATCGAGAATAACCTTAGTACCAACTTTTAATATCAGCCTAATGAATGGTAGTGTCCCTTTAAACTAGTTTATATTGTGAATATGGTTTTGCTCATTTGTTCTGTTTTTTTGAGGCATGTGCAAGCTGGATGAACTGCCTAGTTTGGCTCATGGGTATTGTGCAGCATTTCCTGTGGGTCTGGTAATGTTTTGTCTCCACTATTTTACACTTTTGCTCACTGCTGAATATGTTTTGTTTCTCTGTGTGTTGGTGAAGGTAAAGTACAATTTATTAAGCCAAATGGGTAATACTAGCAGAGCTGGGGGAGACTATCCTGAGTGAACTACAATAACACCCACAACCCTGCCATTTAGGGCTAGTTCACACCAGCTTCATTGTGTTCCTGCTGATTCTGGCCAGCACGCACTGGATTGCATTCTGGCCGGCTCACTTTGTTTTTGGGCGGTAGGGGGCGTGGCGGTGCATTGAACTCAATGGCACCGTAGCCACGCCCTCCGGCCGCAATGCGATCAGTTGCACGGAAACGCAAGACACATCAATGCCTGCAGTCCGATCAGAAAAAATGCTGCAAGCACAATTTTTTCTGACCGGACCGGAACACAGGCATTGATGTACCACGCCTTCCCGTGTGGCCGATCGCATTGCGGCCGGAGGGTGTGGCTGTGGTGCCATTCAATTCAATGGACCAACTCGCCCCCTCCCGCCCCACAACAAAGTGAGCCAGCCGGAATGCGATCCAGTACGTCTCACCCCCCAATCAGGCCGGAACGCACTGTGGCTGTTGTGAAGTAGCCCTTAAAGAAAAAGACAATCTACTCAGTGCTGAAAATGCCATCAAGTAAAGTTCTGTGAGTAGAAGGCCCCCTTAGATGCCTCAAATTTTGGCTGATTCATGCCGAATTGTCCTAAATTACAAACATTGATCATGTCTTACCATTGTTCAGCAGCCCCGCAACTAACTGAATACAATAGGTGGCAGTGGAGATTCCCCACTGCCGGCTGTAGCATGGATGAGGGAATCGATTGAGTTTCTCTCATTCAGCCCATGGACTGTACAATATAAACCTGGCCATGTATGGCCACCTTAACTCACCTTCATGATTCCTGATAAGTCATCTGAAGATTCCACGACATAACTGTGAAGTGGCCTAAAAAGATGTAAAAGGTATGTGATGATGTACAAGTTCAGAATATTATCTATAGATGCGCACTCTATGTAGGCAATGTATTCTATATACTGTAAGTCACTTCCATACTCTCCTGTGCATGCTTATGTGGTTGCGGCTTCAATTTGCATTGCAAATGTATGGCTGTTAGTTGTTTGGCTCTATATATTTTTTTTGCAAGCTTTTATTTTGAATATAAAACTTCATATTTGCATATTGAAAGATTGGTGAAGGGGCTCCTAGCTTTGTGAACTACCTCCATGTCTCAGATGGTGATGCACTGCTTTCAGAATCTGGTCCACATAAATTCTGACATTTGGCATGCGCCTCCATCTGCTGGCAGTCAAGCTTATGGGTAGAGGTGTCACTTGTGGGAAGGATTGTCAGAAAAACACAAGCAACCATTGCCAACCTTTCCTTTGAAAATGCTAGTTACCTGGCTTTTATGCTAAACCAATGTCTTCCATTATTTGATTTTCTCAATCAGAACTAGCATGCAGATCAGAAATTCCGACTTCACTAGCTGCTTGTTTGTTGGGTCAGGAATGCGTTTGAAGTCGGCAATGGTAGCTAGTGTTTTTTCCAATGGGGACAGCTGTCTAATAGGGGGATATCTCTTCACTTTGAATAGATCTTCTAATACTATCTGCTATGTCTCTAGGACAGGAAGCGAAGGGAAATCTTCCCCTGTGGGAAATGGACTGCCAAAAAATGAAACTGAGGTCTTGACCATTTCTTTTGCCAGCCTACACTATCCAAAGAAAAGCTTTACATGTATTTTAATGTTGATGTTGCGCAGACAGTGACTGTTGGCTATTTGTGTGTGAATTTTGTGCCCTCTAAATTCTTCAGGGTTACGAGCCGTTGTGGAAGAGCTGGAGCTAGAAAGAAACCAGCTTCAGGAGCAGATCATGACACTGGAGGAGCGATGCCAGGAGCTAGAGGACAGGCTACAGCTGCAGCTTCGCATTGAATCTTTACAGGTGTGTATTGTAGCCATCATGCACATGGGTGACTACAAGATAAATGTTGTGATATGGGTATTCTGGAGCATGATGTATCTTGCTTTTAGCCTGGCTAAGGATGAGCCTATTGTTGCATGATTGTATAATTCATCACTTCTGGCCTAAGTATGAAGCCCTTCTGTTTCTGCCATTTCTCCAGTAGGGGTGAACAATCACTAGCTGAGCTTTCTGCCTCATTTTCTTTGTCTTGTAATCGCGCCTTTTAATACAGGTAACATTTGATGTAGATGAAGAGACTCTTCCCTTCTTCCAGGTGTGTTTGGTGTATAGGGTGAAAGTAACACTGTTTTGGCCTGTGTTCCTCACTTATCTGGTATGCACTGTTTTCATATACATTTCATGGCCAAATGTTGGTGGACACCAGACACTCACACCTACATTATGTGGGCAAAAGTGTTAGGAAGCCCTCGAAATTACCAAGTTCAGGTGTTTCCATTGAAAGGCACTGTTAGTGCTACAGCATACAAGGACATTTTAGGCCATTGTGCATCTTTATGGTAACAGTTTGGGGAAAGGCTCTTTTCTGTTCTAGAATGACTGCTCCATAAAGACATGGTTTGATGAGTTTTTTTTGTGGAGGAAATGGAGTGGCCAGTACAGAGCCCTGACCTCAATCATAATTAACACCTTTGGGATGGATTGGAATGCCGGGTCTTTTTGTTCAGCATCTTTACCTGAGCTCACAAATGCTGTTTTTGGCTGAATAAGCACAAACTCCCTCAGACTCCAAAATCATGCGTAAAGCATAGAGACACCCAGGGAGGGTGTAGCTGCATAAAGCGGGGCTATATTATTGCCCATGGTTTTGTAATGCCATGTTGAACAAGTTCATATAGGTATGATGATCAGGTGTCCACAGACCTTTGGCCATAGAGTGTAGCTGTGCTTTGCTTCTAACACGTTTGATGCTGTCTGTCAGAGAGTTTATTTATGATAAGCGCCTTAGACTGGACAGCCCCTCTTTAATCAAACATGCCTACCATGAAAGACGGTTGTGCCCATAAACTTCCATGATTACTAAAGCCATAAGTACATGCAAAAAGTGTGTGAGCTTTTAAAGAAATGCTCAGCTTTTGAAGAAGGATCTAAAACAATCAGGTTTGTTTTTGAGGCGGGGGCAGAAGAGAGATAGGAGGGTTAGTTGTGCCCACCTCCTGGTCTTTAGTTCAGCAATGAACTGGTTCCGGCCCTGCACTGTATTGTTACACATGTTAGCTGACAGGTTACTGTCAGCTAACCTGTGCATCAAACATTCCATACAGACACACAACAGGAGGAACCGTTAAGAACATCTGAGCTGATAATGAGCTGATAATGCCTCATATGCACAAATATTGTTTAATCTTGGCTAGTAACATTCACAAAAGGTTTGCAAGATATTTAACAAGCTTTTAGCAGCTATAGAAAATGTGATCCTTAATTATACAGAATTGCTTTGAACAAAATGGCGGCCATGGAAGATCACGTTAGCGTTTTGTCCGTAGAGTAGCACTTTGAAATCCTTTCTTGCTGGCTTGCTTGCCCTTTGGCCAATTCGTCTTCCCTCCATGTAGTTTAGCTCATTCTCACGCTTCCTTCTGCTGCCCCAAATCATGTACTAAAATGTAATTTAAAGTTTGCCTACGTCTACCTGCCTGCCATCATATCCTACACACTCCTCACATAATGCTTGTCATCATAAACTTATTACTCCTCTCCTGCACATACTGCCAACTATTGTACCGTCTGTACTTCTCTAATGTGCATACTTCCCACTGTCATACCATCCACACTCCTCTCCTGCACATACTACCCACTTTCATATTCTCCGCACTCCTCTCCTGTACATGTTTCCCACTTTCATACTAACCACACTCCTTTCTGTTACATACTTCCCACTTTCATATCATCCGCACTCATCTCCTGTGCATTCTACCCGCTGACTTACCCTCTGCACTCCCCTCCCACACATACTACCTATTGTCATACCCTCCTTATTTATTTACTGTATGTTCTAACCACTCCTGCCGCACTCCCATCCAGAACATACTAACCACTGTCGTACCCTCCACACTCCCCTCCTGGACATACTAACCACTGTCATACCCTCCACACTCCCCTCCTGGACATACTAACCAATGTCATACTCTCCGCATTCCCCTCCTAAACATACTAACCACTGTCATGCCCTCTGCACTCCCATCCAGAACATACTAACCACTGTCGTACCCTCTGCACTCCCATCCAAAACATACTAACCACTGTCATACCCTCCGCACTCCCCTCCTGAACATACTAACCACTGTCATACCCTCCGCACTCCCCTCCTGAACATACTAACCACTGTCATACCCTATACTAACCACTGTCGTACCCTCTGCACTCCCATCCAAAACATACTAACCACTGTCATACCCTCCGCACTCCCCTCCTGAACATACTAACCACTGTCATACCCTCCGCACTCCCCTCCTGAACATACTAACCACTGCCATACCCTCCGCACTCCCCTCCTGAACATACTAACTACTGTCATATGCTCTACGCTCCTTTCCTGAACATTCTACCCTTTGTCATACCCTCCACACTCCTCTTCTGCTGCCCTCTGTTCTTTACATTGTAATATCCCCAACGTTGTGTGTTGTGGAATGGGCACACTTTTGCTGATATGTATAATAAAAAAAACGTTTTCATTGCCATTCCTTTATGTCTATTATAATAAAGAGTACTTACTGTATAGTTATTAAATCAATTAATTTTTTTGCATACACACAATGCAAACTTGGCTCCCACGCTTCCGTTTCACTAGAACACATCGTTACTTATGGGCTGTCATAAACGCATAGGACCATCCTGCTGTTGAATTAGATTAGCCTAGATCTTTAATTTGCCTGCAAAATGAGACAAAGCATAGTAAACAAAGGTTTGTTTTTTTTAATGACTTTTGCAATTACTTGCACTTTCTGCACGTATTTCTATATTGCTCCAGTAGCTGCATTGGCTTATACATACTGTATGTATACTTATTGGTATAGTTATTAAAATGCAGATATGTTTAGCACAAAATGCAAGCTTAACTCCCACTCTCACCCCTTTGTTTCCACTGAAATACAGTATCACTTCAGGGCAGCCATAAAAGAATAGGACAATCCTGCTGCTCACATTGTTAGATCAGACTGTTCATGTGGGAGATGTGCCACTCATCCTTACACCGCTCTAGTAGTTGCATTGGCTCTGCCTTATTGTATGATATTGTAATATATTGATGCTTAGGGTGTGTGCCCCTTTAAATATCTAAAGATATACAGAGTGTTGAAACATAAGTTCAAGGGTTTTAAAAGCTTTCGTTTTGGATGAAGCAAGTTAGAACCCTTCTTAGGTTTTTATTACCGTCCAAGTTCCAGCAGGAGAGATTTTCCCAGCTCTCTCCTTTTTGTTCTTGACCATTGTCAGGATTCCAACTATTACTTACTCTATCTTAAACTTGGATAAAGATGCACGCTCATTTTTGCAATATTAGCAATTTGGTTATGATATAAAGAGGTTTATTAGAAAAAAAGTGTCCCTTTTGGAAGTGTCCCCTATTTCTCTATGTGGATGGCATATTTGGTGAAAGAATGGTCGTTCAGCAGTGGACAGCAGTTGGTTTTTTACCTGGACATGCTATTTTAATACAGCTTTTGAAAATGGAGCTTTTTTTTTTTTTTTTTTTTTTTTTTTATTGTAATTTTTTGAACAACAAAACCGTTCTGGTTACATCCATTTTCCTGGTCAAAGATGTTCAATACACATTACTTTGACTTCCTAAGCCTCTGAATAACTTTAGGAATTCTCCTGGTACTCTTGTTTGCTGTTCTTTACTCTGGTGAGGGGTTTACACTGAAGACATGTTAACTCTCTGTTTCCTAAATTTTTCATTTTTCAGCAGCATGGGTGGTGACATAAAATGTTTGGCTCGTGAACTATCTTATGTTCAGGCTTAAAGAAACTTTGCAACCCTTTGTTTTAGGGTGAAAATGAGCGACTGCAGACACAAGTCTCCCAGATGCGACAGCAGCAGAACCAAGAGTCTGAAAAATACCATGAGCTCATATCCACCTTGAATGGCCAACTTAAAGGGTATGTTCCCCAATATTTGTATCTCTTTGGGTAGTATATGTTGCATCAATAGTAATAATTCTATTTTGATGGACAGGATTGTAGTTTTTAAAAGCTCAGCACACTCTGAAAATTCAGTACCACGAAAGCTGACAAAGTGGTAGTTCATGCTGCTGTTCCAGCCACTGCGGGTGTGAGAGCTATGAAGAGACCTAATCTGCTGAAATCCCTTTAATCTGAAGGATACCATTACTATCCTTATTTATGTAGTTCACACTTGCCTTAGAGCACCATGCATTGACCAGACCAAAGGTCACCAGCCTATGCTCACTGAAACTGCAGTGACCTGCCAAGACCCTACCTATACTCTCACTTTTACAGCCCGTGTTGTATGTTAGCTGGCCTTGCACTTTAAAAAATCTTCATCGCTCCCAAACGTTTCTCTAAGCAATGCCCTATTGAGGAGTTTCTAAAGAAATGTATCAACTGGACTTGCTGTATTTTTCTTGAAGACAGCAAGGCCAGTTGTCTTGACTTATTTTTTACAGATATACCACGACCTTGATGAATGAGAACCATCACAGATATTCTAAAGAAATGGACAAGTTGGTGTACCATGCCATTTCCTGCCTTACCAAAACCTTAAACATCCCTGTTGAGGATGTCACAGTCTTCAAGGATCCTGTAGACAAAAAGGTTAGAAGCCCCTTCTTAAAGCAGAACTATGGGGTCAGTGTTTTCTCCCATAGTTCTCCTAAGGGTCACGGGAGGACATAAACTAGTGTCCTTCCGTGACCCTTCCGTGACCCAAAGCTCAGTATATTGCGAGCTACAGATCGCGGTATACTAAGACCACCGCAGCCGGGACAGATCACGACATTACTGTCGAGATCCACCCAGCTGCGTTATTGACAGCTGGCTCTGCCTATCTAGAGGAGGAGGAATCCCTGCCGGGAGCCGTGACTGACAGTCACGGCTCTCTGCAGGGACATGACCGAGCAGTGAGCAAGCGACGGTATGTGTTCGCTCACTTCCCGATCTATTGAGTCGACGTGACAGTTTCATTGTTACACGGCTCGAACTATGAGGGTGAGTGAACATCGCTCACCTCATAGTTCTCCTTTAGTCTCTCTTGTCTCCTTGTTCTGTCTGGTCAAAGTGTCTTAATAAAGATTTAACCACTGCTCCGTAATCCCGTCTCATCCCTCGCATGTGCCTCATGTCAGTACATATGCGTAGGGCACTTTGGCTTAAGTGCTACACTGCAGCGGGCTTGTGCAAGAAGCGCTTGTGCCGCATGGCCTATGAGGGGCGATGACTCTTCAGACTGGCTCTTAATAATATCATCAAGAATGCTACTGCTGACAAGAGGAACAGACTGTAAAGTCGTCATCTTCATATTTGACTCCCCATCCATCTGCAAGGTTTGGCACTCAGTCTGCCGAGTCCTCAGACAGACCCTCCTCTGCATGAAGGTGCGCCCCCATTTTCCAGAGTTGGGAGGATGTCTGTTCACCTTTGCAGATACTTGAACGGCTTGCATCTCAGACATTTGTATACAGCAGGTGGTATCCCAGGGCTACGAACTGGAGTAGAGTAGCATTCTATTCATCTCTGGACAAACCAAATCTGTTGATGCCGAAAATCAGGTTGTCTCTGGCTTGGTGGCTAAGAAATCTGGCTCTGGAGTAAGGAAGTCCTTATTTGCTCTCTTTGGAAAATCCTCACAACAGATGCCAGCATAGATGCAGCCTGCCAAGCTGGGGAGAGGTTATGGGCACTTTGTGGTTGCAGGAGACTAGGTCTTTGAAAGAATCATGTCTCCAGATCAATATCCTGGAGCTTCGGGCAGTTTGACTTTCTTCTGTAGCAGTTGGCCCATCCTGCTGGAACATCTGATCTGGAGTCAGAGAATGCCACTGTGGTAGCGTACATCAACTATCTGGGAGGAACCAGAAGTCTTGCTGCAGTAAAAGAGGTAGAAAGGACCCTGTCCTGAGCAGAACTTCACCATCCAGTGTTGTCAGCTGTGTACATTTTGCAGGCATTGTCATTTGGCAGGCAGACTTCCTCAGCTAGCAGTGCCTCTGGACCCAGGAGAGTAGGCTTTCCAGATTTGCAAGGCTGCCACCCTGTGCCACCCACACATTCTTAAAGTTATACATGGGGGCTGTTTTGGCATCATCTGATGCCAACTTCAGGTGTAAGGTCCTTCAAGCAGCCTTTTTTTTTTTTTTAACTTGCTGACATTCCAAAGTTTCTCTTATGCTTTCTTGGGCCTGTTAGTGATTTTTTTGGTGTGTTGCCCACACCTCAGTTGGACTGCTTTTGGATGTCCTGAAGGTTAAAGTTTTTCTGTATCCCTCAATGGACAAGAACAACAAATTTTTTTAAAAAAATGTTTGCACTCGCTGCAAAATCCTTTACTTGTAATGAGGCACAAAGGTGGCCCACCCTCTATACTTATGATCATGCTCTCAGTACTTCTTTGCTACAAGACCGATGCATGCTCGTGGTAGGAGGGATTTTCCTGGGCTGGCCTACAGATTGGTTTACCAGAATCCAGTAGGCAGCAGTATATCCCAAAGGCAGCCTGTAGGCAGCAGTATATCCCAAATTCCTGTAGGCAGCAGTATATCCCAAAGGTTAAAGTTTTCCTGTATCCCTCAATGGACTCCAAGAAAAGAATTTTACGGTGAGTCAAAATCATCATCTTTTTTTTTTCAGAGGAGGTCTGAAATGTCAGCCTCCCTTCTTCTTCAGGATATGTCTCCTTAAAGACTTGCTCTCTTGTTGGTAACCTCCGTACAATTACACAAAAACCTAAACGTGTATTTTATTTTCTTAGTTTGGCCAACAGGAATGCGTTTCTTGAAAATGCTATTGTGGAAAAAGAGCAAACTATCCTGGAAGCAACATCGCGGCTAGATCAGCTGGGAGCAGTGTGGAAAGCTTTGCAAGAAAAAGAGACCATAAACAAGGAACTACTGGAGAAGCTGGATCAGTCTGAGCATCAGGTCAGCCAGATGTTACATTTATGGGGGTCATTCCACCTTTATAGTCCCTCTGTATACTCTGAACTTTCTCTTATCTTTATACTGTTATGCTGCAATTTTCTTAGACAGTGTTGTAGTTCCATAGGTAATCATTTAAACCCGGTCAATGTATACATGAACTTATTAATTATGCAGACATGAAGCACCCTTATTTATTTCACGATCATCAATAGTGGTTCACCCCGGCTTGTCAAATTATAAAATAGAACTACAGACCTCATCTGCGGACAGGTCTGCACTTTTGCTATTGCACTTCTCACTGTGAGTGAGCAGCATTTACATCCTGGCTGTCTGGTGAAAATATTACTTGTTCCAGCTAAAAAGAATGCCCATCTGGGGCCTAAAGTGACACTAAACTCAGGCGAGAAATCTTAAAAATCCTGTTATGTACCCTAACTCATAACAACATTGGACCATTTGTGTTTCACTCAGCTGTAGATCCTCAAATCATCTCTGAATTGGTGCTGACACTGTCCTTCCTTCTGGAGGGTTGCTACTTTTGTTCCCCATGGTCCCTGTGTGTGTTGTAAAGTAGCCACTGCTCCAAGCTCACTCCCATGATGGACTACAATCTCATGTTTAGTTTACTAATGTGTATTGAGATTGTAGTCTATCACAGGAGCGAGCTTGGAGAGGTGGATACTTTACAACACACACAGGGACCATGGGGAACAAAAGTAGCCCCTCTCCAGAAGGAAGGACCGTGTCGGCACCAGAGATGATTTGAGAAGATTTACAGCCGAGTGATAAATTAAAGGAGAACTAATGGGGCCAGGGCTTTTCCCCATAGTTCTCCTAACGGTAACGGGAGGACACAAACTAGCGTCCTCCCGTCACCCAAAGCTCAGTATACCGCGAGCTACAGCTCGCGGTATACTGAGACACCGCAGCCGGGACGGATCCCGACCTTACTGTCTGGATCCACCCAGCTGCGTGAGTAACAGCTGGCTCTGCCTATCTAGAGGCAGAGCCAGCTGTACCCGCCCCCTCCCCCGTCCGTTCCGCCAGTCAGCGCTGGAGGATCGGACAGGGGAGGGGGGAATCCCTGCAGGGAGCAGTGAGTGACAGTCACGGCTCTCTGCAGGGACAGGATCGGGAAGTGAGCGAGCGACGGTATGTGTTCGCTCATTTCTCGATCTATTGAGCCGACCTGTGGTAGTTTCATTGTCACAGGTCAGCTAGAACTATGAGGCTGAGGGATTTTCACTCACCTCATAGTTCTCCTTCAAGGTAAATTTTTCCCCCCAATAATTAAGGTATTTAAATGCATTTTTAAGGTTTAACTGAGTCAAGTGTCACTTTAGGTCTTGAGTTTGGGGCAGAGACGAAAGAGCATGCAACAATGCATGCATCATAAATGGGCTTTATTGTGTCTACAGAGGTATAAAGGGCACCTAATTGATTTTTTTTTTTTCTTCCCCCATGGCCAGCAGTGTGCCGTAACAAAACACAAGAATAACGGCATGTATGGGATATACCTTTTTTTTTTTTTTTAAAGCTAGAATTAATCTTGCTAAGCTTTGGGTCCTCTGTTGAAGTAGATTCTTCACTTATTCATCTGTAAAATTTGCTCAAGAATGGATTATATTGGAATATAGTTTTCAGAAATGGCAGCACTCATATTTCTCTCATGGATTAATTTAAACATTTGTTCGTTTTTTATTTTAATGACTCACTTCATTTTAATTTAACAGCTTGAAGAGGTCAAAAGGAAGCAAAGGGCATTGGACGCTGAAAACTCAGCATTAAAACAGTCCAACAGTGAGCTCAATGAGAAGGTGACTGCATTCAAAGAGAGGGTAAGCCTTACATTTTACTTGGGGATGATAATTGCACTGTATAGTACATAACTGTTAAATAAGTTCTGGTAGACTCCGTAATATTAATAGGCTTGACATTAGCTCAGCCTTTAAAATGGCTGCCAGCATGTTGCTTAGGTGACTGTTTTGTTGGTTTTACCAATAAAGGCGTGTCAAGGGACACCGTTCGTCTGTATCTAGAGACTACTTATCTGGAAGCAAGAAAAATGTACATCCAAGTAAAGAGATCAGTATTAGTACTGTGAATGGTATTCTAATTCAGGGGTACACATGCTGTGAGTTTGAACTCCAAATGGAGTCGCAACCCTCCAAACATTGCTTATGACATTAACTTTCCTAAAATGTATGGTGGTGATTGATTACAACGTACGTTTTTTTGTTTTGTTTTTTCTATTGCGGTCCGTGCCCCTGCTGGGGAGAGTTACCCTCTCTATTTGTCCTGATGACCATTGTTACTGAGATAGTAAGTGGTGGGAAATCCAACATTTTACAGTTGTCACTGCAACAAGATGTGAGGGATAATCTTCTAATGGGGACACCTGTTCCAGTGACATCTGCCTAAGAGTGGAATGTCCCGTGCTTTGTAGAGATTTCCACTTCCTGATGTATCTTTAGAACAGGATGTGTAGGGAAATTTCTACAACAGTACACAGACAGCAAGGAGCAAACTTTCTATACTCTTTCCAAAACTTTAAAAAAATGTGTTGTCTATACATAAACTTTAAGATGTGTCTGAAGTCCCAGAGCAATAATAAATGAACTGTAGGAGAACCAGTGTATAGAAGGTGAAGTAAACCATTGTTTTTTAATTAGACAAGCTGCTGTAGTAGACCTTTAACTAGTGTTTGTTCTCCGGACACTTTCAGGTACTAATTCAAGATTCATCCTTGGAAAAGCTGCAAGTTGACCTTGATCAAACTAACGAGGATCTTGATCGTCTTAATTCAAGTCATCTAGAGGAGCGATCCCAACTTATTTATGATCTGCAAAGATGCGAGAGGGAGATGGATGTTCTCAAGGAGCTTTTACAGGAAAAAGACAAGGAAATGTCCGCTCTGTCGGTCACTCTGACAGAATATTCTGAGCAGATTACCGTGTTAAAGGAAACAATTGACTTTAAAGATGGGCAGATGAGAGAGATGTCGGATGCCCTAGTGAAAATAGAGAGAGCGCATCACCTTATAAAAGAGGCCCAAACATTGGACGTCCACGAGACGAGCACTAAGATCTCCATGCTGACCGAACATCTCAGTGAAATGGATGAGGAATTAAATAAAGCTAAAAGCCTCAACGAGAGCAAAACTAAAGAAGCTGAAGAGCTAATTAGGCAGATCAATGAAAATGGAATAACAATTAAGAATCTTCGTCAAGAGATACAGACACAGTCAGTTACACACAATAACCATGTATCTGAGAGCTCTGTACAGATTGCATCGTTTAAAGAACAAATGAATGCATCTGCTGTAAGACTCAGTGAAACAGAATCAAAATACAAAAAGGAAATTGAAAGCTTGAAGTTGCAGTTAGAGAACGATCACTCCGAGAAAGCTAGACTGGAAACCTTGCTGGAGGAAAAGAGCAGTAAGGAGCAGAGTTTTGAAAACGAGTTAAAAGCTACAAAGGAACAATACAACCACTTGTTTTCCGATATGTCAAAGAAAGATGAAGAAGTAAAACGGTTATCAAAACATCTCACAGAGCAGAAAGACCTTTGTGATAAGCTGAGTCAAGAATTGTCTGATAGGCAAGATGATGTGTCGTCTTTAAAGAAGAAGATTGAAACTCTGGCGCAAGAACAGGAGAACTTAGTTAAAGCTCTCCAAGAAAAAACACTGGATTTTCAGAAGCAGATTGATGAGAAGTCTGAAATAATTAAAACACTGCATTCAGAAAAGAAAGATTTGCAAGCACAATGTAAAGTCGTTGAAACTTCCATTTCAGATAAGGAATCATGCATTCAACTTCACGTGAACTCCATTGAACAATTAGGTATACAAATTCAAGGCTTAGAAGATCAAAATCAACGCTTGTGCAACGAGAAGGAAAATTTACTGACACAGGTCAGCCAGAAAGACTCAGACATCACTCACTTGAATCAGACCTTAAATGATTTCCAGACCAAACTGGCAGAGACAGAGCGTCAGCTGGCTGAAGAGTGTAAAAATATTTCCATACTGTCAGGTGCTAAGGAAGAATTGCTTGCAAGAATTGAACAAATTTCAACTCAGAGTTCCAAAAATGACAGCAGTTTTGGAGAACAGCTAAAAGAGAGGGAAAAGGAATGCCTTGGCTTAAAGAGTCAGTTACATGAAGAGCTGGAGTTGTCCCATAAGTTACAGAATCAAATACAGTCTCTTGAAAAGGATCTAGAGGAAGCTCAGAGGTGCTTTCATGAAAAAGATGATAATCTCAAGGTCACGATGGCAAACTATAACACGGCATGTGAAAATGTGAAACAACAAGAAGAGGCAAATGGTCTCTTGCAAAAGCAAATGGAAGAATTAACCAAAGCTGTAGAAAATGAAAGGAAGGCACTGCAAGAGAGGGATGTGTTGCTTTCTACGCAGAATACACAATTGGAGGCCTTGAATTCCAACTTGGAGAAGCTACAGAAAGAAGAACAGAGTCTTAAAGAGACTAATGTAAAACTTGCAGAGGACATAGAAGGATTAAATAGAGCAATGACCAAGCTCCAAGAGGAGGTCAACCATAGAACTGAAGAAAATACAACACTGAGAGAAAGATTAGAGATGAGTAATAAGGATGTTGAAAAGTTAACACTAGACAGAGACTCCTCTTTGTTGTCTATATCGAGTCTAGAAAGTCAGTGTCATGCCCTCCAGTCACAAGTGGTTCACCATCAATCAGTTGTAGCCTCCTTAACACAGCAAGTAAACTCATTAATCTCCGAAAAGGAAAAAATGAATTCCGACATTGAGTTGCTAAATGCCGCTATGTCCAGTAAGTTGGAAGAGATCAATGTTCTCAGTTCACATTTATCAGAACAGGGCCATACTATCTTATCTCTGAAGGATCAGATTGACACAATCCAACTTGAGAAGCAGTCTCTGCTTTGTGGTGTGGCAGAGAAGGATGCCTTGCTTTCCCAGAAAGAAGAATTATTCCAGCAGGTTGAGAAGAAACTGGAAGGAGAAGGTTACTATTTACAGACTATCTCTGCTTTGCAAAATGAGCTACAGAGTTCACGCTCTGAAAACGCTCTACTGCTGCAGAAAATTAAAGACCAAGAGCAGGAGATGCAGAGATTGAGGCAGCAGATACAACTGTTGAAAGATAAAAATGAGGAAGCAGAGTTATTAAAAACACAGCTGTCTGAACATATGGAGATAATTTCTAACCTTCATTCTCAGATGAAAAATCTGAGAGACAACCTAGATGAACTCAATAATGCTTTAACCAAAAAAGATGAATGTTTGAAGGAAAAGGTAGACAGTTATGTCAATCTGAAAACTCAGTTTTCTGAGATTCAAGACTCTTTGGAAGAGCAGAAAGCCCACGTTGAAGAGTTAATTCTGGAAAACACACAGTATAAGGCGTCTATGTCAGAAAAAGATTTGGCAATCAGAAATTCATTAATAGAGTGTGATGCCTTAAAACAGAAGCTAACTGATAATGAGGGACAATGCAATATGTTGATTCAGCAGATTGCAGATTTAGAGGAAGTCAATAGAAAACAGAACAATGAGTTAAATGAGTTGAAGGTTTCTATAAAAGAACAGGAAACTTCCCTTTTAGGAAAGCAAGAATTGTTAAATACTCAATTAGAGGAGCAGACAAAATTAGTGTCGCATCTCCAGAATTCCGTGCACGAGCTTAATAACACAATCAAAGATCTTCAGCAGTCCGTTGTCGACAAAGAAAACACGGTGCAGAATTTGCAGGAAAAACACACTTCCCTTTATGATCACAAACAAGAGCTTGCAGAATCTCTTCTCAAAAAAGAAAACGACATTTCTAAACTTCTAAGCACTGTAGATGAAAAGGATGCTAGGCTTCAAGTATTGGAAAGCAATGTTCAAGCCTTTACTAGTGAGGTCAGTCTGCTAAGAGAAGAGCTAGACAAAGGTAATTCTAATGCCAAAAGTATATTGGACACACTCCGAATGAAAGATGAAGTCATATCTCAGCATCAGAAAGCAGTGGAAGTCTTAAAAGCAGAACTGGAAAAACTGAAAACGGATTACAAAGAGACCCAAATCCAGTTTCATGCATTAACACAAGAAAAAGAGGAAAGCCGCTCGTTAAGCCACAACCTTCAGGAAAAATGTAATTTACAGAGCCGACTTATTGAAAACTTTAAGCACGATGTGGAAAGTTTAAATTCTGAGGTAATACAAGCTCGGAATATGGCTGCATTTGAGATGGAACAGTTCCAACATCAACTAGAGACTGTAAAGCGGGAAAGGCTGCATCTGGAAGCAACGTTGCAGATGTCACAAGCAGAAAAAGACAAATCATTGTTCACCTTAGAAAAGCAGCTATTTGAAAAAGCAGAAAATATAAAGCAACTTGAAGAAAAGCTTGGGCTTCAACTGAGGGAATCAGAAGAACGTATTAGCTCAGACGCAGGAGTGCTGTATCAGCTGAAGTCCGACAAAGCAGATCTTCAGAAGCAGGTTAGTGGACAAGATGAAGAAATCCATGCTTTGAAAGTCTGTCTAGAAACCGTAGAATGCAAGCTTAGTGATCAGAAGCAACAATCAGAAAAAGAGTATGAAAGAATAAATGAGCAAAATGCAGTACTTAAAGAACAGATCAGCAGCTTAGACAATAATCAGAAAGTAAAGGAGAACGAAGTACAAGGTTTGCTGAGAGACTTAAGTTTTGTAGAGGAACAGTTATGCGTTTTAAGTGATGAGAAAAGTTCAGAATACAATTCATTAAACCAGCAGTTGAGTTACAGTGGCAAGGTAGAAACACTTTCTTCAATGTTGTCTAAGGCTTTGGACTACAAGTCAAAAGTGGCAGAATTAATGAAGCTGCTTGAGGCAAGAGACCAAGATCTTGAGAATAAATCTGAAGCAATTGTTACCTTTGAGAAGGAAAGTAAAAATTTGCAAGCAGAGTTGCAAAAAATTAAAGAAGAAAAACTTGGCAGTGATTATGCTGTGGGTGAACTGGCAGCTGCTAAGGAAGCCTTATCCCTACAGCAAAATATCATAAAAGAAAAGGAGGAGGTTTTGGCACAGATGGGCAGAGATATTGTAAGTTTGCAGGAAGAAATAAGGTTCGCTAAGGAAGAACTGCAAAAAAGTCAATTTACAGTGAATGAAGAGAAAGCTAAAGCCCTGGAGCTTGCAGAAGAGGTCAAAATGAAAAACTTGCTTTCTCAGAATTTAAACCTGCAGCTCAGCCAACAGAAAGAGTTAATTTCCACAATAAGTGACCAAGTAAAGGAAAAAGATTCTTCTCTGATGCAGGTAATGGAATCAATGTCAAATGAAATGGTCAAATTCTCAGCTGAGAAAAGTGCTTTGAATATAGAACTTCAGAACTTGCAGTCTGAGAAAGGTTCTTGCCTCCTGCAAATATCTGAACTTTCGGAGAAGCTCCAGGCTTATGAACTGAAGTTCCAGCAGTCTGAACAGATGCTTGCAGATAAAGAACTAATCCTTTGCAATTTATCTAATGAGAAGGACCTCCAGTTGGAGAAATTTAATAAAGAAAGGGAAAATTTGAAAAGGAAGCTGCAGGCAGCTTTAGTCATTCGAAAAGATTTAATGCAAAAACTCGAGAAGCTGGAGAAAAGCAAGCAAGATGATTTAAACGTTGAACAGTTAAAAATGGTGGATCTTGAGAAGACTGTTGAAGAGTTAAACTGCAGAGTGAAGACCATTGTAAGGGAGAATGAAGATTTACAGACTCAAATGAAGCTTTCAAAGCAACAGATTCTAGAGAGAGATGCACAAAGAAGTGAGCTTTGCAGTGTTCTCTCAGAAAAGGAACATCTTGTGATAGAACTCCAAAATGTGTTAACTGAATTACAGCAGGGTTTCTCTGAGAAAGAAAGCTTGTGTCAGGAATATATGAAAACCATGCAGGAAAAAGAACACAGCTTTTCTCAGGCTAAAAACACATTAAAAGAAAAACTTAAGACTTTAGAGGAAGAAAATTCTCATCTAGTGGAGAATCTAGAAAACCTTAAATCCTGCCTTGAAAAGGCTCAGGGAAAGTTAGACTCTCCTGTTACCTCTCACCAAGTGTCGGCAAATCAATCACCTGCTGCTAGTACCTCAGGCACTCCAGAATCTGGTTCTATTGAGGTATCATTTGCACCTACAGAAAACACAATCGTTCATAACAATGTCCATGCTTCACTTTTATGCACCCAAGGAAATGTGGAGAGTAAAAAAAAACATGCTGCTCTGTTAGAAAGTCTTAGCAGGAGTGTAAAAGAGTTTGAACTGTTACAGAAAGCACATGCAGAGTTGCAGGTTGCTTACAAGACAAAATGTGCAGAGTACGAGGAACAAAGAGAGCAAGCGCTTTCTCTTCAAAACCAAATTGACGCACAGGAAGCACTGGTCTTTCAAAAAGAATTGGAGCTGGCCGACAAAGACAAGCAAGTAGGTCAACTAAAGCAGAACATTGAAGAGGTTTCTAATAAATTAGAGAATATCAGGAATTATGAAAATGCAAATTCTGAATTAGAGGCACGTCTCCATGAGAAGGATGAAGAGTTGCTAAAGATAAGCTCTGAACAAATACAATTATTGAGTGAAATACAGTTATTGAAAAATGAAATAAAGAATCTGTCCTATGATGTGGAACAAAGGCAAGAAGAAATTGGTTACTTAAAGACTGCAAAAGAGTCTCAGTCAATGGATCTAGAAAAAATTGAAACTGTGAAAGAAAGTATGAAAAATGAGATTGGCGTGTTACAGAAGGAGGTTGAGGCCTTCAGAAACATGAATGAAAGTGCTGAGTTGACTGTTCAGCAGTTAGCCAAAGAAAGGGATATGTATCTTAAAGATTGCCAGGTGCACAAGTTAGATGTAACCAAACTTAAGAATGATCTTGAAGTAAAAGTCTTTGAACTGTTAGAAAAAGATAAAGACATTTCTATTTTAAAAGATACCCTCCAAATGAATGTACAAGCATCTGCAGAGGAGATAGAAAAACTGTGCAGGCAATTAGAGGAGCGCAAGGAGGAAGCAAATAAATTGCGCACTGATTATGACCAAATGAAAGAAGAGCTGGAAGAATGCCTTTCCAAGTTAGAAAAGGCACACGTGGAAATATCCGATTTTAGAACAAAACTAATGGACTCTAGAAAAGAAGAAGAAATAGTTATACAATCAAAGAACCCCGATCTTAATCAAGTAGTTCCTGAAACAAAACCTGCTTTGGATAACCTACAAGGAACAAGAGAGTTTGCTCAGCTCACATGTGAAGATTGTTTAAGAAAGCAAAAAATTATTGAGGAATTTGAGAGTCAAGTTATAAAAACAAAACAAGCCATGGAAGATCTTACTGAGGAACACAAGAGAAACATGTCAGAAAAGTCTAGCTCCAAAGAGCAAATCCAAAGAAAGCTCCAGGCAGCATTGATGTCCCGCAAAGACTTACTAAAAGAAAACAAAGCACTGAAGCATATTGTTGAATCTCTTAATCTTGAAGTAGATGGACATAAGCATTCTCTTGAGGAAATTCAAGAAAAGCATGCATTGAAAATTGCCTTACTCGTCAATAAAAACAAGGACCTCCTCTCTAAAAATGAAAGACTCTTACTGGACAATGAGAATCTTTCTGCTGCTTGTGAAAGCCTTAAATCTACAATGGAGTCAATTGTCCAGGAAAAAGAAGCATTTTCCTTCCAACTATATTCTCTTAAAGATTCACAGACCGTTGAGTTGACAGGATGGAAAGCCAAGCATGGGGAGTTAAATAAGGAGTATGAGTCTCTGTTGCAGGCATATGAAAATGTAAGTGATGAAATTGATAAGATGAGGCAAGTCATAGACATGACAAAGAAAGAAAAGCATGACATTTTAATTAAGATTCATGACTTTCAGAATGAAAATGGAGTCTTGTCAAGGCAGATTGAAGAGAATGGTGATGACATTATCAAACTTGGAACCATGATAGAATCCAAAGATGCGGAAATAAAACAACTGAAACAAGAAGTAGATAGTGTAACGGTGGAGAAGGCCTCTCGGTTTGATGACGTAACTGAGAAGAATCAGCAACTTCTAGAAGAAAATAGATATTTACAAGAAACTTGTGACAACCTAAAGTTATGTCTTGAAAATAAGGAAAAAGAAAACGATAGCCTATTTATTATTAAAACTGCCCTGGATAAATTGCAAGTGGACATGAACATGTACAAGTCTGATATGGAGATTAAAATTTCAGAAATGAGTTCTGAAAACGAAGTGTTATTGAAAAAGATCACAGAGCTGAGCATTAAACTAGAGGAGACGGAGCAAAGCCTCGTGACGGTTGAAACTGAGAGGGACAGCCTTTTAGAAAAAGTAAGGTCTTCTGAAGTTTTGTTTACTCAAGATAAGGAAGCCGTGCAGAAATTAGAACGTGACCTAAGTAACATGCAGCTCGAAAAGATGAACCTGGAGGAGAAAGTAAAAATTTTGGAGGATGACAAGACACTTTTGCTAGATGAGATTGAAAATATACAGGAGCAGTTCTTTACAGTGAAGAATGAAAGAGAAAGTATGGAGACGGAATTGCTTAAAGCTGTTAAAAACAACAGTTTGCTCTCTGATAAATTTAAGTCTCTCCAGGCACAAACCAATGTTCTTAGCCAGCAGGTTGAACATCTCAGGAGTGAGAAAAACAATATTATGCGTGAGAGAGAAGAGCAGCAGTTACAAGCGCTTCGAGACTTAGAGGAGAAAGTGAAATCGGCTCAGGATGATGATAGAGGAACGCAAAGCAAATCAAAAGAATTGCAAGAACTTCTCAAAGAGAAGCAACAAGAGATTAATCAACTTCAGCACGATTCAATACGATTTCAGGAGCTAATAATAGATCTTGAAAGCACTATTAAGGGATCCAACAGCCAAAATGAAATTCTTAAGAAAGAGCTTGAACATACATCAGCCCAGTTAACGCAAGCAAGGAATGATGTCTTGTCACTGAACAAAGAACTCTCAGCTAAGGAAAATGACAATAGTCAGATAACCAAGCTTGGAGAATTTAGGGAGATCAATGGTAAATGGATAGTCGATAATCCAGCTCAAAATGAGGATAGAAAAAACATGTCGGCAGTAACTGCGGGCTCTGGTGGGATCACCATGTCTCTCAATAATGTAGTTCATGGAAGCCCTTCAAACAGAAATAATCAAGATTGTGGTGTAGAAGCATACACTAATGGTGTAAAAAGAGGGGTGGAAGAGCCTGAACCAGTTTCTCAGTCCAGAGCTGAAGCCCAGCCAACATTTAAACCTGCACAGGTTTCTCACCAGCAGATGTCGGAAAGCCCAAGAGATGAATTGAAGACTTTGCAAACTGTTCTGTCAAACAAAGAAGAAGAACTTCGACAACTGAGATTAAAATTTGAGAAAATTAGGGCAGATGTCCAGAAACACGTTGTCCTTTCTCAGCATATGAAGCAAATTATCAATAATAAAGATAAGGAGATATCACTGTTGATTTCTGAAAAGGATGGCGGAGTATCCAGTTACTTAGAAGAAATACAAAGCCGGTATAGGAAGCAAGAAGGAGAATATGAGCAGCGTTTATCTAGTCTCCAAGCACAGAAAGAAAAGTCTGACATGAAATGTCAGAAGCTAGAAAAAGACCTGCAGAATCTTCAAGCGACTTATGAAAAAGCTCTTCATGACAAACTCTTGCTATCAAATGAAATTGAAGCTTTTAGAAAATCCATGTGTTCTTTGCAAACTGATAGAGACCAGCTATGTTCAGAATTACAGAGCATACATCAACGCGATGAGTTAGCACTTAGTCAAAAAGACAATATTATCATCTCCACCTCTGCTGAAAACAATGCCCTGAAAGCACAACTCAGAAATGTTTTAAATCGGGTGGATGACCTCAATGCTGAGAATGCCATGCTGGGTGCGCAACTTATTCGGTATAGAGAAGACCTTAACCAAGTGCTGTCTCTAAAAGACCACCAGTTAAAAGAGCTGCTGAGACAGAAACTAGACCACATCAAGAATTTAGAACAAGAGAAGTGTGACCTTGAAAAGCTAAACAGAGAGTTACAAAATGCATCTGCAGCACTACAAAGCTCCACCGAGGCCCTAGAGTTGGAAAACTGGAAACTGATTTCCAAAGTCAAAGACCAGGAAGATCTCATTGCTACAATCAACAAAGAGAAAATTATTTTTGAAACCAGTCAGCATAAGGATTACCAAAACTCTGCTGATCGCCAAATTAAGGACTTAGAGGACAAATTTAACCACAATATTGTGGCCTTTGGGCAAAACACTTTTCTTTTGGGTGGTGATAGCAGTAAGATGGCAGAAAAGACAGAAAAGACTTATTCAGACATTTTACTTGAGAACAAAGAATTTAGATCTCAGATTGAGTCTTTTAGGAATGCAATGGCTGCCTTACAGAACAATCGAGATTCCTTGATAGATGACTTTAAAGAGCTGCAGTGGAGGTATGCTTCCGAACTAAAATCGGAAAAGATCCGTGGTGATAAGCTGGAGAGACAGCTCCGTGATTTTAAGTTCCAGCTTTACAGCCTGCTGAAAAAGAACTCTTTAGTTGATGAAGCGGAACTTGCTGCTGAAAACCAGATAACAGTAGATCAGCTGGTTGCTGAAATAGATTCCGTGTGTAACCTTTTAGCAAACAGGGCATCGGAAATCACCAGGCTGTCATCGGATTGTGCTGCCTACATGCAACAGGTTGATGCTTTCTCCAAGGCCATGGCAAGTCTACAACATGATCGAGAGAGACTATTACAGCAGCTCAAGGAACCCACCATAGTTCGAGAGTCCAAGCAAGGCACCGCTTCTGTTAATCAGTTTCCTGAGTTCTTGGAATCGGATTACCTTGCCACAAATGGATCACAGCCTGATAAGTTAACTCTGGTATGTTTTATCCCTAAGGATGTGTTTTTTCGTTTTGTGTTGCTAACAAAGTTGTCTGGAAACTTTGTTTTTGTAGTTTGTGCCATTTGCTGTTGCATGAACTGTTTTGTTGTGGCATGCAGATATCACAGCATTAATTCATAGGATTCCCACTTCAAATCTCCTAAGAAGGGATACAGACAAAGAGAAAGTTTTCCTAGGTTTGGCTACTAGTGCGATGCATATATGGTGAAGAGTCTTTTTAATTTGAAAGGAGAAAAGGAAATTATTGCTATATGATTAATTGTGTGTGCTAAAGCGAGATAAATATTTAGCTAGAAATTGGCTAAGTATAAAATATTGCGTGTTAGTCATTTATACTTTACACTTGCTGCCAACTGGTAGTTCCCCAAGGAGGTCTCAGAGAGCACCTTTTGTTCCAAACAGAGACCTGAATGACTAACGTTTTATTAGTGCTTTTAACACAGTCTACCAAAAACCATAAAGCTAGCAGTGGGCTTTTCTTTTCTATAAGACACTTTGTCATATATACCTAGTTATAAATATATATTTGTGAACTTCAGATTTTATACATCATCAGAAAGTATTTAAAACTGACCAGCAACTGTTTATAGTGTCCCTCTTTCCTTCATCTTCAAATGCCATCTCTGTCAGTCTGTTCATGGCCAAGTGTGCATGCTCATAAAAATGTTTTTGGTTAGCCACATAAAAATGATTCTGTCTATCTTTGTGCATGGCACGTAAACTGCAAGTATGCTGAAAACTAATATTTGATTTATGATTTGTTGGTAACCATTGTGGAATGACACTTAAAGCCACTCTGTTGATTGGGTAAAAAAAAAAAATTAACATGCCAACTACAAAAGATGAGGTTATATACTCTCCTGTCCCACAGCTCTTTCCTTCAACCTTCACTCTCTTGGAGAGCCGTGGCTTTTTTTTTTTTTTCATGTCCAACTCTTGAGAATGTTGGATTTCTGGTCCCCTGCTGCATGCCGTGGTTCCCATCACCGCCCTCTATATCACTACACCACCCAGTAGTGACGAGGTGTTCAAAAAAGGAACCATTGCCCACAAAAGGGGACGGAGACATCCAATGCACATGAAAGCCTTGAATATGGAGATTTTTCAGGCGGTTGTAGCTCTTGAATAAAGTCAAGATCAAAGGAACAGGCAGCACTTGAGGAGTGTGTATAAACTGTTTATAAACACTTCCATTTCCATGTGTTCCATTGTTTTTTTAACCTGGTGACAGACTCCCTTTAAATAAAATGCTTGGAGAAATGTGAGACACCTGTAGGTGATTGATCCAACCAAACACATACCCAGCACTGACCGTTTTGGGTAGACTGCAATTTTAAACTCTAGCTCCAGTCAAAACGTATATATTTTTTAAGTGTGTCTAAAGCCAAAAATGTTATTGAGAAGTTAGAACCCTTGGCAGACTCTGGGGATATTTACCCTCTTTGTTTGCCCTGGAGACGATAGTCATTGGGACTGAGTGATGGAAGGAATGGAACATCTTCCTATACAGACACCTGTTATAGTGACAGCTATCTAAGAGGTGATTTCCATGACTTTGGAGAGATCTCCTCTCACTCCCTGTTGTGTCTACAGGACAGGTAAAACTCCCCAATGGGCTTTAAGAAAAAAAAAACGGACAGGGATTTTAGCCATTCCCTACTTCATCCAAAATGTTAAGGAGTTTTCACTTTACATTTTGTATATAGCGGGAAAGAGAGAGGACTCTTTTTTTCCTTTGGGGAGATTGCACCTAATTCCATGAATTGACGACACCAGGACAAGAAATGATGGGTACAGCAATGACATGGACAGGTAAACATGGGCAACCTCTCAGAGGCGAAAAACCTTTTTGGTTATCTTTTTTCTTTTTTCCACAAGTGATTTCTGTTCACTTTTTGTTCCTCTGATGGGTGATCACACTAACGGGAAGTGAGTGTAAATCTCCCAATTGTGGAAAAAGTAAAAGAGACCCAATAGATTTCTTACCCTTAACCTTTTCCAGAGTTGGACTTGTTTTGTTTTTTTTCTTTGGCTGGTCCTTGGTGTCATTGACTATCTTGCCTACTATTGCCCTTATGTTGATCAGCTCAGGCATATAAGAGTGGAGTAGGTCTCGTTTCCCTGGATAATGCAGGATGGTAGATATCTTATTCCACTTCTCTGGCTGCACTGGCTAACAAGCTTAGTCTTTTTTTTAAATAAATTAAATATAAAGTTTAATGCTGGTTTTCTTTCATTAGGTGGCAGAGACAATGAAGAGTTCAGCGGCTGAGTCCCTAAAACTGAGGAAAAAAGTACAGGAGTTGGAGAGACTATTACAGGACGCCGAATCTTTACAAGGGAAATTGGAGAAAGAAATCAAAGCCCATCAGTGTGAGCTGGCTGAACTGAGGTATGTATTTTTATATTATCTACGTGAGAGTATTCTGAATCGGAAATGTCAATACCCATTTACAAATGACTTTCAATGAGAGTAAAAAAATTTGCGTGCAAGTCTGTCGTCTTCACATCTGTTCCTCAAGTCCACCCGCGTTGCATGTTTTTGAAGGGCCGTTTGACTCAAAACTGATATAGTTTGGTGGATGCTGGAGAGTTAAATCCCCTGACAGTCTCTTCTACTTCTTCGGGAGTCTATTGGTGAGCTCTCCACAGTATATGTGGCTGCCAGGATCACTGTGCTCTGATTCCACCACTAAACAAACAAGAGTGTTATGTATTCATATTATCTTATGATTTACTCTGTTTTAGGTCTGAAAAAAATGTCCAGGCAGCTGAAGTGCAATCTCTTCATCTTCAGTTTAATAACATTCTTGCTGAAAAAGACCGGCGGATTGCAGATTTGCAGAAACATCAAGAAACTTCAGTATTGAGCAGTGTGTTATTTGGAGCAAAGGTGAGATTTAAGACCTTAAGGGTTTCTCTAAAGTAGCTCAAAACCCAATCACCAATCACTATAATCTCATATAAGATTTTACATGGTAATGTCATTTCAAAAGGTGTTTTCAGTATTTGTTTTTAATCTGCCGTTTTCATTACAATAATACTTAGTGATCCGGCCACCATCGTAAACGACTTGTCTTAAAACGGAGCGTTTGAGTTGTCATCTGCCATATTTGCTCTTGCTGGAAAATAAAAGCGGCAGTGTGGACACCCCTTGCGCAGACATGGTCCACTATTATCGATCCCTAAGCTGACGTGCAGCCAACCCTGGAGTGAGTGCAGGTAGACAGGAAGCACTGAGCTACAAAAAAAAGGATTTAAAAAAAGAAAAAAACTTAAATACCATATTTTATTATAAAAGGCATTTTTTCCCCACAATGCTATAGCAGCCTAAATATGATCCAGTTAGGATTTAGACCGACTTTAATAACAATTAAATCATGAGCCTAATGCAGTGCACTGAAAATCACACCGCTATTGTCCTGTTTGCACTTTAAAAACCCAATTGAGGTTTCAGTAGGAATGCTGCATATACATTCCGTGTGCAGCAAAATAAGATCCCAGAGTCTCACCATTCTTTTACTATGTAAAGCATGGCCAATAAGAGTAGAAAATGCTGTGCCCAGTACTATGCTGCAAAGGAGGACTCTGCGTTGAAGTATCAGTCTCTATGCAGTGGTCTGACATGCCCCTCATCTTGCTGGGTCAAAGCTATTGCATAAGCATAAGCCTTGCTGAT